AATCATATATATATATTGTGGCCTTGGCAAAAAGAGATCGATTGGTTTTTTTTACTCCTGTATTTTTTTTTTTTTTTTTTTTGTTATTTTAAAAAAATAAGCATCCGACGATATCAACAGAGATAATGATGATGATGATGATGGCAAGTGTCGTTGACAATTGCCACCATTATTTCTACTGTGTTATTCAAGATAAGCATTTTGATTTGAATTCGAATCTGAATTGTTTTGATTAAAAATTCACACACACACACACACACACACACACACAAACATGCTAATCAAATAATGATTGAATGTTTATCATCATCATCATCATCATCATCACGATGTTGATTATTGATTATTGATCCTGTTCCAAACACACACACACACACATTCACATAAATTTCTGACCAAATTCATTTCATAAGAAATGAAAAAAAAAATGTAAACGATAAATAGGAAATGGCCATCCCCTAACACCAGGATCATCCACTGCCCTTGTTCTTCAGAAAAAAAATCAAACCAAACCAAACCAGAAAAACGATCCAGAAGTAGTGAATGAAAAAAAAATTGAATTGAATTGAATTGAATTGAAATGAAATCGAGATATATATGAATGTGAATGTGAGCAAACGACATTTTATTTTATATATTTATTTTAACACAATAAATTACTTTTTTTCTGTGTGTGTGTGTGCACACACTCGTTATTCTTGAACAAAAAATAATAATCAATCAAAGTCAAAAAATATACGGTATGCACAATACACACACACACACACTAATAATAAAATAGAGTTTGATCCAGAAAAAAAAAGTTTGAATGATGACGATGATGATGATGGCCGATTCAAATGAATCGTTCGTTTTATTTTTTTTCGCGTGTTGCAAAAATTTTTTTTTTCGTATCTTGCCCATTAAATCCCTTTATTCTCTCTCTCTCTCTCAAAAAAAAAGTTTTTAATTTCTTTTGCATCATCATCGTGTAAAATATGGTTGCCTTTTTTCAACCATCACCTTCCCCTGTAGTTGTGTGAATTACAATTCTTCATCTTTATCATCATTGTAATATCTACGACCGATTACCACCATTATTACTACTACTACTACTACTACTACTACCAACCAGCAATTATTAACAGGGGCCAGTAACAGGACATGGAAAAAATGGACCAAAGGCGTTTATATCGAGAAATAAAAATACATATTACACATCAGAAGGGCCATATATACACATTTATTTATATTGTCATCCAATCACATGAAATGAAATTGAACGAAGAAGAAGAAGAAGAAAAAAAAATGAATGAATGAATGATGACAATAGAATCAAAAAAAAAATGGTAATCAATCATTCAAACTATGGAGAGAGAGAGACTGATAACGAAATGAAAATAGTTGGAAAAAAAATCGATACGACAATGATATGGTGAGCAAGTAAAAAAAAATGAATATTTGAAATGAAATAACTAAAAAAAAAGCCAAGTTGACAACAACAACAACACACACACCATGATCTTGATCGTTCAACGATTCATTGAATTGAATAATATTATTTTCAATGAATAGCGATAACAACAACAACAACAACAATAATCATCTTGGAAATCGAAATTGATCGATCCAAACTTGAATCAATTTACAATTGTCACTTTCACACACACACACACACACACAGAGAGAGAAAGATATGGACATTACATTACATAATGGCCAGGTGTTTTTCAGCTTAAAAAGTTTTTTTTTCTTCTCTGTAATGGCAAAAAAATAACTGAGAAATAACCAAACAAACATCCACAAATAATCAACTTATACATTGAAAACATCAACAAATTTTCTCACCTTTATGACAATTTATTATTAATGGTAAATTTCAGAAACGACGACGACAACTACAAGTCATCTACATTCATTCTTCTCTCTCTCTCTCTCTTGAATTTCCTGTTTTTGTTGTCATCGTCGTCGTCGCCGTTGTCGTTGTATTGGTCATATATAATCACAAAATCCAGGAAGAAAAACATATGCAGAACCAAACGAATGAAGAATGGATGGTCGGAAAAAAAACATCATCAATCGTCATTAAGAGGATCGAATTTTTGACATTCGATTGAATTCAAAATGACACAAACACACACACACACACACACAATGGTTACAAAACAACAAATCAGCTTCGAGCAAAAAGATTTTTATTTCAATGATTGGTTTGTGTTTTTTTCAATCGAATACATGTTTCATTTTGGTCATCTCTCTCTCTCTCTCTCTCTCTCTCTCACACACACAAATATTCAAATTTTATCATTCATCATCAATATAGATCAATAATGGTTGTGTGAAAATTGATTTTTTTTCTCTCTGTCTCTCTTTGGTTTACAGTCAGTGGTAGGTTGCATAATAATTATTATTATGGTGATTATGATAATAAATAATAAGAATATGAATAGAATACATTTCATATAAGGATAAAATACAAGATTTGTGCGTGTGTGAGTGTGTGTGGTCATGTTTTTTGTTTCAATATTTGTGTATACGTGCATTATGTAGTGATGATGATCATCATCGTGTCATCAAGGTGTTGTTGACAGGTAGATATATATGCGAAACAGGAAATACTGGTGCTGTGTGTTGTGTGAAAAGAGGAAGAATCATATAAACTATTCTATAGAAGATTATCACTATAAATGAATTTGTGGAGAATTGATTTTAAGTAGAAATTTTTTGTTTTGTTTTTTGTTTTGTTTATGTGCATGTGTCAGCTATTTTTCTTTCTTCAGGTTTTTTTTCCAGAATTTGTTATTATTATATTATTATAAAACACGTGTTTGTGTGTGTGTGTGTGTGTGTGTGTGTATGGATAACAACAACAACAACAGAATATCAGCCAATAGAATGTGTGTGTGTGTGTGTGAGTGTGTAAGTGTGTGTTTCAAAATAAATAGCATCATCAGCATCAAATGGAATGATGCAAACAAACAAACAAAAGTTTTGTTTGTTCCAGGAACAAACAACAACACACCATCACCACCGTCATCATTAAAAAAGAATCGAATGAAATGAAAGATGAAAAAAAATTAAAAAAAAAAAACAAAAGATCAAAGCAAGAAAAAAAAAATTTTCATTGGTGATGACAATACAAAAAAAAGTGATAATCCACAAATTTAATTAATTTTTATGACAACAACACATTGACATCAAAACACACACACACACACACACACACAGACACAGACACAGGCAAACATTGAATATAATAATTTTGAAGCATTCATCATCACCATCATCATCATCAGCAGCAGCAGTACAGTTAAATTTCTATTTAATTAATTAATTAAGAATAGAATATAATAATATGCATCATCATCATCATCATCCATTGATTGTTTGTCAGTTGATAATAATGAAAAGAAAAAGATTGAAACGATGATGACGACGCCCACCTTGACGTCCAAATAGCACAATTCTCTTTTTTGAATGAGACAAAAGAATTTTTTTTTCCATCGTTTCTCTTTGGTTTTTGTTTTTTTTTTTTTTGTTTCATTGTCGATCGATTGTTACATGTGTGTGTGTGTGTGAATATAATAATGTGACAGCAAAACAATAGAATCAATTGTAACAATTATTATTAAAAAAAAAACTTCATGACATTACCCAAACAGTGAATTCTGGCAATGACATCCAGCACATACATACACACACGGCATGAATTCTGTATCTGTTTTTGTTATTGTAGAAATTCTTGAATTTTCTAAAAGTTTTTCATTCCATTTTATTCATTCGCTTCATCATTTACCAGCTACTAATTGTTTCTATATACGAATAATTCCAGCCAAAAAAAAAAAATTATTGCCAAATTAATTTCATTTCATCGGATTCTTGTCTTGTGTCCACCCCTCTCTCTCTCTGGTTCATATATTCGTTCATCGTTGTCACGCTGGTTATTCTATTTAGGCTGTCATCAAATGATGATGATGATGATGACATTAGATATTGTCCGTTTTTTTTACTTCTTTTTTCTTCATTCCATATATCCATTTTCATTGTTGATGACAATGATGATAGAGATGATGATGATGTTTGTTTGTTTGTTTGTTATTGACATTCTACGTGTTTGCTGTTTTTATTTTTCTTTTTTTCGTAGTATGAATGACATGAATATGTGTGCATGTGTGTGAATGAGTTGAAAAAAAAGGCCACACGACAACAAACAATGAAATTGATCATGATGATGATGCACAATCTGTTCCAATTTAATTATAATCGGGTTCGTTCATTCATTCATTTGGCTTGGTTATGTTGTTGTTGAAACAATAAAAAAAAATTTCAATGATGATGACGTGTGTGGGTGTGTGTGATATGACAAGCTATTTTTTTGGTTGGAAAAAAAATTTTCTAAAAAAAAAAGAGTTTTCAATGTGTGTGTGTGTGTGTGTGTGTGCGTGTTTGTTTGTTTATTGTTTGATCGGGTTATGGATCAGATGAATTCTGTTGTTGTTGTTGTTGTTGAGGCATCTAGAAAACTGAAAATTGCTTAAATAAACATTTTGTTATCACTATTTATTCATTTTTGTATGCCTGGATAATTTGAATTTCAATTCAGTGATGATTTTCTTTCTATGACAAAAAAAAATTTTTTTTTTTGTTTTTTTTCCAATGAAAAATCAAATAAATGGCTGAATTTTGGGCTTAATTTCGTTGGGCGTATATGTATACTGTGTGATATCATAATTCGTGGTGGTCTCATCAGGTGTGTGTGTGTGTGTTCCATCTTTAGCAAAAAAAAAAAAAAAATGATGAAAGTCTCAAGTTTGAATCAGAAAAAAAAGAAAAGAAAATTTAAATTACAAATTGATAAAATTCAAATTCATTTCCCGATATAAAAATGACCAAAAACGGAAAACTAAATTTCAATCAATCAGCTTCATCCGATGAAGATGACGAAGATGATGATGATGATGAAGTTGATGGTGATGGTGATGGCGATGCTGATGATGATAATCGTGATGGTGATTGTTGTTGTTGTTGTTGTTGTTGCTGTGTCCAGTTGTTGTCGATGATGATGATTGTTGTGCCTGTTGTTGTATTGTTGATGGCGTCGGTGGTGTAGGCGGTAACGATGATGATGACAATGATGGTGGTGATAATGCTGTTGTTGTTGTTGTCGGTGATTTGTTATTATTATTATTATTGCCATTGTTATTTGTATTTTGTTGTTGTTGTTGTTGTTGCTGTGATTGGCTATTTTGGTTGGTCATTGACCCATTATTATCATTAGATAATGGTGAGGATGATGATGATGATGAGTTATTATTATTGTTAGCAACTATTGTATTATTATTGACTGTTTGTGGACTATATTGTTGTTGTTTGTTATTATTACTATTATTGGCCATTGATAAATTATTGTTATTATGACTGCCCATTTGGGTTGTCGTTGTTGTTGTTGTTGTCGATGTTGTTGTTGCTGATGATGATGATGATGATGATAAGGTTGTCAATGTTGATTTTTTACTACCACCATGATGATGTTGATGTTGAAGCTCGTTCTCTAATTTACGTCGAAGTTTACGTTCTTTTTTAAATCGTTTCTGATATATTACTATTGATGGAATGGTTTCATTTCAATAAAAAAAAAAAAAAACAAAAAACAAAATTACACCAATTCTACAATCCATATATGATTGGTGATCGTATTATTATTTACCTCGAATTTTTTGCTCTTCATTCAATTGTTTTTCCACATGTTCACGTAGTTCACGTTCACGTTCCAATTGATTTGAATATTCATTACGTATTTCAGCTATATACAGAAAAAAATTTCAAAAAAGAAAAAAATCATCATTGGAATTTTAGAAATTCAACATTCTTTACTCGTGGTGGTAAAATATAATTTTTTTCCTATTCATTTCATTTCATTTTGTTTTGTTTTGTTTCCCATTTGAAAAAAAAATTATATATTTATGGAATCTGAACCAACCAAGAGAAAAATTCAGAAAGATTCAGAAATTATGTAAGACACGTACACACACACACACACACACACACACACACACAAACATCTGCCATTATAATAATGATGATGATCATCATCATCTTCATTATTATTTTGTTTTGATCCCGTGTGGATTTTTTTTTTTTTTTGTTTTGTTTTGTTTTGTTTCGTAGCCTGGGTAACCCTTTCATCATTTCTCATTTTTTTTTATTTCACACATTTTTTTTGTTTTGTTTTTGTTGTTGTTGTTGTTGTTGTTATTGCATCATTGAATCGCATATCATTCATTCATTAGAAAAATATTTAGTTGATGATGTAACTAAATAATAATATTTTGCATGCAAATTTTTTTTTTTTTTTTTCTTTCTTCAGGATGAAAGAATTTGAAACTTTTTCCAGTGTGTGAATGTGTGTGTGTGCAATGCATTATAACGAAACTCAAATTCGTGGATGTGAATCGGATAAAAAAAAGAATGAATGAATGAATGAATGAATGAATGAACGTGTATAGTGAACGCATATGAGCGTAAAAAGTGATTTAATCCTTTTTTTTCATACGGGTATATGTTTGTGTGTGTGTGTGTGTGTGGGCAGGGGACGTAAATTCCGTATGGAATGGAATCAAAAAGAATTTCGTGTGTACGTGTGTGGTATGAATCAGGAATCATATCTCAAAAAAAGTCAATTGTTGTCAGTTATGAAAACAAAAAACAACAGTGAAAGAAAGTGGAAAAAAATGTATGATGTTCCTGGATCCGGACCGTTGTATGGTGGTGGTTGATTTTTTTTTTTTTTTTTTTTGGTCAAACAAAAAAGTGAGGAAAAAAACAAAAGCTTTTTTTGCTGTTTGATGTGGTTTTATGTCTGATGAAATGTTACACGAATACGAATTGATTCCAGAAAAAAAGATCCTCAGGAATCCGGATCATTCATTTGTGTGTGTGTGACTAAAAATTTAATTTATTTCTATTCTCTATTAACTTTAACTTTTGTTGTTGTTGTTATTGTGGGGGTACCCGTGTGTGTGTGTGTGTGCGGATATTTCTTTTTTTTTTTTTTCGTTACTATGAATTTGATGTTAATTTCCGTGATGATGATGATGATGATGATAATCGACGATGGATATGATGATATTAATATATAATAATGGTTCAACCGTAGAATTTTCTGGTTTTTCAAATTTGATATTGATATGATTCTCTTTTTTCATTTTTTTTTTCATTCTCTTTTTTTCTGATTATAATTTTGAAATTCATATTCCGGGAGAGTGGTGGGTTTTTATTACAAAAGAGTTTAATTATCTTTCTGGGTTTCATTTTCTCATTTTTTTTTTTTTGGCTCGGTATGATGGATTGAGTTTCTTTTTTTTTCATTTATCCATCCATTCTTTTTTTTTTTTTTTGGTTTCTCATTCATTCGAAATGTGATTCCATTCAAAATGGCTATAGAATTCAAAGATGACGATGATAAAGATAAAAGCAAATCAAAAAAGATGTATGAAATGAATTAGCCAAGTAGTAGTAAACTCGTGTGGCCATAATCCATAATAAGTAATAATCATCATCATCATCATTATAATCGACTGTTTTTTTCTGGTTCTCTCACATTTTCAAAATATTTAAATGAAAAAAATTTTTTTTCTATCTGAAAAAAATTCTATGGTGGTCTTTCTGCAAGTGTGTGTGTGTGTGTGTGTGTGCCGAAAAGATAATAAAATGCGAATAATTTATTCATTTATGATCAAGTTCATGGTTTTTTTTTTAATTGAAAACCATTATCATCATCATGGAAACGAAATGACACTGTTTTTTTTTTTTTTTTTTTTGATGGTATCGATGGGTCTCTGTCGATTGTTTTTTTCTCTCTTTCATAATAAATTGATCTGATCTGATTTTCAAATGGCAATTATTCAACGGATTTTTTTTTGATGTTTCATTGCCAAAAAAATATGTATGTGTGAGCCTTGGATATCTATCATAGTGTATGAATGATAAAAAAACGCGTGTTTCGTATTAAAATAATATTTGTGTGTGTGTGTGTGTGTGTGAGTGATAAAAAAAATGGAGGATTTTTTAAATTCTAAATAAATAAAAAGACATATGTGCATCACACAATAACACTAACCTTTTTGTAACTGAAGTTGTGCTTGTTGTTGTCGTGCATTATGTGCTGCAATAGCTAATAAACCTTCAATATTTCGTAATAATGTCTCTAGACAATGTTCCGGTTGTTGATGCGATTGTTGTTGCAATGATTGATTCAACAATTGATGTACGGCCGTTTGTTGTTGTAATGACTGTCCAATAATCGATGATGTTGATGATGCTGCTTCGGCTGCTGCTGCTGCTGAGCTCGTTGTTGTGGTTGCCAATCCATTCGATATTGAGGATTCAATTGTTGAATTATTATTTTGATTACGATGATGATGATGATGATGATGGTGATGAGGATTATCAAATGGATAATTTCGTCCAGTTATACCATTGTTTCCAATACCTTGGCATTTATGGAAAAATAAAGGTTTATTTCAAGTTTTATTTTCCACCATTCTAATATTTGACTTACCATTATAGTTAAGATTATCACTACGATTACTACCACTACCACCACTATGATTACTATCAACACCATCATCATCACGATTATTATCGTTATCATTATCATCATCATCATCATCGGTTGTATCAGCATCATCTTCATCATAATCATCAATATTTTTTATCGATCTTTTTGATGATGATCGTATTATTGATTGACCAGCATTATTGTTGTTGTTGTTGTTGGATGAACCATTGATCAATGATGATTTATGTGTCGATTGATCTGTATCATTATTATTTGAATTATGAAATAAAGAAGATTTATCCAATGAACGATTTTTCGAATGATGATGATGATGATCCATTTTATTATGTCTTCCTGATGTTATATGATGATTTTCATTACTACCACCATCATCAATACCAATTGTTGATGATAATAAATTGTTTGTCAATGATTTTTCATTGATCAAATCACTGATACCACCATTCAAAGATATAGTTGGTGTAGCCGAATTACTTGAATTGCCATTATTGTTGTTGATGGAATTTGAATTCAAATTATTTTTATCAAATGAAGCGGATCCATTCAGGAAATTATTAGCCGCTGCTTGTAGACCATCAATACCGGTTAAAGAATTACGATTACTTAGATTCAATGCAGCTGCAGCTGCCGCTGCATTCGGTAAATGTTGTTGTTGTTGCGATAATAACCACAAATATGCTGCAGTTGGATTAAAATCAGCAGCGGCTGCTGCCGCTGCAGCAGCCGCAGCTGCAGCTGCCGCAACTGCTTGTTGTTGTTGATGATGATGATTATTATCCATTGTCGTTCCAGTTATCGAATTGGTTGATGATGATATTGTTGGTGATGTATTCGAACCACCGATACCAATTCCATCATTATTTCTATTTCCGCCATTACCCAAAGAAGATAATGATGATGAACCAAAATTTCCTGAATTATTTCCAGTTATTGTTGTAGTTGTTGATGATGATCCAACAGCTGATGTCGTCGATGTTGTTGTTATCGATGGTGACGATGAATAATGTTGTTGTTGTTGCTGCTGTTGTTGATGATGTGGCTGATGATGATGATGATGATGATGGTGATGGTTATGTGGAGTGATACCTGGTGGTGGACTACTGTTACCAAATCTAGAACAAAAAAAAATGAAAAAGCGAAAAAAAACCAAAACGAGAATTGATTAATCTTTTTTTCTCTCAGCTAATTATTTATTATCATGATCATTATTATTTTTTTTTCCCAAAAATAAGCTAAAAAGGGTATTTCATCATATCTTGTTTGTCGTAATAATTATTCAATGTCTATTTCTCTCTTCTGTATTTCTATCTTTTATTCAATGACATTATCACCGACAATCATCAACAACAACAACAACAACGAACGAACGAACAAGTATAGAAAGGGCTCCAGAAACAAAACAGAAAAATTTGCATAGAAAAACCATTACAATCCCTTATTTTTGATATTATGAGGGATTATATAAGCTGTATGCATCAAACGATGATGATGATGATGATGATGATCCGGATACAAATAGTTCAAAGAAAAACAAGCGAAAAAAAATTTTTTTTTTCTCTGAATCAACAACAAATAACAACGTCTTTTTGACAGCTATCCTATACTATTTCAATAACCAAGAAAAAGACGAAGACGATGATGATGATGATGATCCAGAAACGTGACATTTGAAGGGCTCAGTTGGTGGTGATGGTTCCAAATTATCTATATTGTTAAAAAAAAATAAAGCAAATTGGTACTTTCTGAATGTTATTTGCTCTCTCTCTTTCTGTCTATGGCTGTGAATAAAAATGATAACAACGACGACAATAATAATATCCGTGTGTAACCAAAAATGGATCATCATCATCATCATCCTGAGTGAATGACTGAGAGTGAGATAGAGAGGGGAAGAATAAAAAATAAATAAATTTTTTTTTTTGCTTTGTTTTAAATCATATTATCTTTCAGAAGACACACACAGAAAAACTTGCTGGCATGAAATTCATCGTTTTATTGAATCAAAAATAGAGAGAGACAACGAATATATTGGAAATGAAATAGAAACGCACACACACACACACACATCTCTAAAAACGAATGAAATTCAAAACAAAACAAAACCAAAAAAAACGAAAATTCAGGGATCTGTTTTTTGTTTGTTCAAGTGATTGTTTTTTTTTGCTGTTGTTCAATCATTCTCATGATGATGATGATGATCATCATCATATTGTTTCATTCTTGATTGAATGGAAAAAAAGAAAATCCAAAAAAAAATCTGGTGACTTTAACGATCATACACACACACACACACATACTTATTTTTTCTGGTGTAAAAAAATCAAAAAAAAAAATTGAATGAATTGAATTTGGCTACTGTGTGTGTGTGTGTGTTTGTATCGAGAAAGGAAACCATAAAATATATGGCCCAAATAAACAAACAATACAAATATTGAGCTGTATGTCTGTCTATTTGGTATGTGGATAACGACAAAACAAAACAGAATTTTCACTAAAATCTTTATGTTCATCATCATCATCATCATTATCGCCATAATGACTGGGCACATTTATTTCATTTCATTTTCGGTTTGGTTTTATTTATTTGTTTGTTTGTTTGTTTGTTTGCATCCTGTAAATGTCAATAATAAGACTTTTAAGTATTTTTTTTTCCTCGACTGGTCACACATAAATCAATCCCAAATGAAAACAGAACAGAAAGATTTTTTTTTTTTTTACTTATCAAGCATATATCACCGAGAATTAAGTTTTTATGTTCAACTACTTTGTTTTTAGTTTATGTCTGTTTTTTGGAATTTAGAATTTAAAAACAAATAAAATTTTACTAATAGTTGAAATGAATCAAATTGTATCATGTGTGTGTGTGTGTGCAAATGATTCGCGGATATGAAATCGCATACACACACACACACACACACAACCAATTTGATGAAAAAAAACGAAGAAAAGCACGAATATCAAAATCCAAAACACTCACACACACACACACACACATGAAAAGAATAAAAAAAAAGAATCGACCAACTAAGTGATTGATCATTTCAATAAATAAATTGATTACAATTTGTCCGATGCTTTTCGTTTGTTTGTAATTTGTTGTTGTTGTTGTTGTTGTTGTCGTTTCACTTGCTCATTACAACACATTGACTATGTTGATGTGGCGGATGTTTTCAACACACACACACACACACACAAAGTGATCGATACATCTTTTTTTTTTGCTCATTCGTTCAAATTCGATATATTTGATTGCGTGCATCATCATCATGAATGATGGCACCAGGAAAAAATGAACGATTGATTTCGTTTCAATTTGTTGTATATGTATATACGATTGTGGTAAATCGAAATCGAGAGAAAGAAATCAATTTGTCTATTAAATTATCATTAGGGATGTCCGAGAAAGAAAGAAAACTTTTTTTTTCGTATCCACAAACAAACGCACACACACACACACACACACACACAAATGATGAGGTGTCTGACAGTTTTGGTTTTGTTTTTTTTTTGGTGATGCATTACAAGAATACCGCAGAATAACATTAAATTCTTATTATTATTATTTTATACAAGTCAGTCAAATAATAAAATTCCTTAATTTGAGTGTGTTTGTGATCTCATTGATCATCATTCAAAGACATACATACATACACACACACACACACACACACACATTAGCTAAATTGAACATATAATGTTTGCATTATAACCACCAAAATAATCACTAAAAATATAGCCATGATCGACCAACTACCACCATCACCATCACCACCACCACCATCACCATTACTGACATTATCATCATCAGCATCGAAACGCATCAATAATAACATTGTCCATACGAATAACCAGCATAAAAAACCAAACAATTGATCGCGTGTATGATGACGATGCCTATGGTGGTGATGATGATGATGATGATGAATCGTGTATAAATTTTTGTTTCCATTATTATTCCTGGATTTTTCCATATTTACGAACAAATGTTTGATGATGATGATAAAAAAGAATGAGAAAGAAAAAAATTACAGATAAAGAATGAAATGAAAATGAATCAATCAATCAAAGAAAAAAAAAAAAAAGCAAAGGCAAATAATCACACATCAAATACAGAATAAAAGTAATATGGATATGGACGAGTAGAATGGAAAGAAGAAAAAGAAAAAGAAAAAACCACAAATAAATTTTCGGCAAAAGAACAAAGTTTATATCATTATCATTGTGTTTGTGTGTGTGTGTGTGTGATTGATATAATGAAGATGTTATCATTATCATCATCATCATCATCATCATGAAAAGTGTCAATTAGTTGGTTGAATGGAAAAATGAAATTTTTGTTTTCTATAAATTATGACATTTAAATTGGTATATATTAATAATAATTCGTGAAATCAATTCCCGATCATCATGATGATATATGAAGATGTTCTCGTTCAACAATTTAATTCAATTTCAAAAATCAAAAAAAAAAATTCGTGCATCAATTGATTGAACTTGATCGAATTTTGGCGTGACTGTGAATCTTGAATTCAAAACAAAACAAAACAAAACAAAACAAAACAGAAAAAATAAAAGGTATCATTTCATTTTGGTATTTTGGTTTGGATATCGATCGATCGATCAATCAATCAACGAATTTGAAATTTTTTTTATTTGTTTTTTTTAATTATTATATCATCATCAACATCAACATATGGTCAATATGTTCTTTTTTGCGGCATCCACATATGTTTGTTGTGTGTGTGTGTGTGTCAAATGTTGACAATTTTCATATTTGAAAACAAAACCCGAACCTGACCTTTTTTTTCTCTCACTCTATATTTTCAGCTATTAAATAAAAATGGAAATTTAATGACCCAAAAAAACACAGAACAAAAATTGTCCATCATCAATTTTGACCATAATCATCATCATCATCATCATATGAAAAAAGTTGAAATTGATTTGACAAAGTCAAATTTGTCCACCCCACACAAACACACGAATATTATGTGTTTGTCATCATCATCAATGAATTTCGTTTGTTAAGCGGTGTAAATATATCGATCGATAGTTTGTGTGTGTTTGTTGTTTGGTATCTATCTTTGATTTCAACAACAAAAACAACAACAACAACAACAAACGAATAATAACAACAACAATGACGCGATCATTGAAATTGAATGCAAGTTAATTTACTTGGACAGAATGATTGATTACATTTTATTTCTTCTTCGTATTACGAATTTATACCATATATAAACCATACATATATAAAATGGCGACAAAGACGTTTTTTTTGTTACTTTTGCTGAGACGAAATTTGAGAGAAAGAGAGTATGAGCTTTGGGAAAAAAATTATAAAAAAAGGATCTCAACACCAGAAATATCCGAAATTTATCCGATACGGGATGAAGATGAAGAAGTAAAAAAACTACAAGACAAAAGGCTCTCTCTTTTTTTTCTGATTCTTTTTCTCATTATGCGACAGGAACATACACCACACACATCACACACGAAAAAAAGTAGTAGTGGAAAACACAACTAGATCGCGCATACCCGCAATGATGAAAATGAACCATCAACCAACAACAACAACAACAACAGAAAAAAAAGCAATTAATCATTCGGGTAGTTGACAGAATCAAAAAAGAAAAAGCAAAAAAAAAAAAAATTGGTATGGGGGTATGCATTCGTTCGTTCGTTAGTTGGTTGGTTTGTGAGGCATTCGATGATGAAAATAAAATAACAAAAAAAAAACTTATAGAATTTCACAATTTATCTCGGGTACACAAAAAAAGTGTATCGAGCTTTTATTTATTATTTTATCCATCGAATGGATTGAATCAAATTGAAAACCGGAAGATCGGAACAGGAACCGACAACAATGAATTAAAACACACTAATCAAACTGATAATTTTTTTTTCTTCTTTCTCATATCGATCTTTGGTGAATAATAACAAATATTTCCTGATTCCTGAATTCTGATTCATCATTCAATCTATCAAGAATCAATGAGATTATGTTGTGATGCTAGCTAATGAAGGGGTGGAATTTTGGAACACACAAACTTTTTTTTCACCACCACTGATGTGATGTGTATATGAGACTTATGAAAACGTAATTACACAATGGAAAGATGTGATAAAATGTTCAAAAATGAATGACTCGTTAAGATGTATAAAGGGGATATAGATAGTGTATGTGTAAACAGAGTGAAAAAAACGATCAAATGAGAGAGAAAAAAAAGGGAAAAAAACTTTACTTTGTTTGAATATCACTGTTAATATATTCGTTATAAATTTAAATGAATGATTACATTCTCTCTCTCTCTCTCTCTCTCTATCTTTTATTTTCACTGTTATGAAATAAAAGTGAAACGAATCTTGTGTTGAATATAAAATAAGAATGATGATGATGATGAAACTTTTTTTTTCAATGTTGGTTCAACATTTTTAAACGATCATTCATCAACCGAACAGACCATCAACGACGATCATCATAGGAGAAAAAAAAGGCTCAAACCAAAAAAAAAATAGGGAAGAGGTGGCAATAGGCAGGAGCGTGCGCAGCCGGTTGACTACTACACTTCCCGCGCAAAAGTATGAATGTCCATGTTATAAAAAAAATTTTGTGTATGTTACAGAAATGTGGACATGAATCAGGATATTCAATGTGTGATGATGATGATTATGATGATTGAACTTTCCTGGGCCTTCCTCTCTTCCGTTTGATTATGGCTGGTTGAACATCTGGTTTGTTTGCACGTGCTGGGATAGGAAATTCTTCTGTGAGATTTTCGGCGAATTGGACTTTCTTAGCTGGTCTGCCTCTCTTCCTTGGTAAATCAATTTGATCATCCCGCTCAATGTAGGCAGGTTTGAGACGATGGAGGGCGACTGATTCTAAACCGTGTTGTGTTTCGATTTCATATGTGGAATCGTGACGATTGATGACTTTGAATGGACCTGTGTATGGTCGTTCTAAAGTTCGGCGATTTTCCTTCAGAAGAAACACGTATTCAGCTGTGGTTAGATCATCTGGAATGTAACAGCGTGAATCTCTGCTTGGTCTAGTTATTGCTGATTTTGCTGCAGCTACATGTTCCTTGAGCATACGGACGAACTCATGTGCCGGCAAGATATCATCGTTATTGGTAACTAGATCAGCTGGAATGGTGAGCTGTGATCCATAAACCAGTTCAGCTGAAGATGATTGCAGATCATCTTTGACTACGCAGTTCGAGTTCGTCCGTTAGCTAGAAGGACCATGGGTAATATTTGTTTCCCATTGTTGTTCATCCTGTTGCCATGATTGAACTTTTAATGTGCGATGAAAACGTTCAATCATTCCATTTGCACGTGGGTTGAATGCTGCCGTGCGAATATGTTTTGTGCCAATTAGTTTTGTCAACTCGTGGAACGGTTGAGATTCGAATTGAGTTCCTCGGTCGGTTGTAACAACGTCTGGTATTCCAAAGCGACTATCACTGGAATGATCCAGGAACTAGCAATTAAAATTGTTCAAATATTATTATTATTATTCAAACATTTGCTGCCTTGAATTTTTTTTTTTTGATCTTGATTGAAAATGTAGCAAATTTCAAAATCATCATCAAAACCCTCCATCTGAAAATGTTGGCCATAGTAAAGCCGGAGGGATAGATTTCTTTTGTTGATTTGATTGATTAGGGTAGCGGTGATGGTGTGTGTGTGTGTGTGTGTGTGATCATCTGATCTAATCGGATGATGATGATTGTTATTGTAACTAATGTTGCAACTGCAAAAACGAAAGGCAACGACCCAAAGACAACCAAAGAAAAAAAACAGAGCTGCACCTGTACCAAACAAAAAAAAATCGATTTCAAAATTTGATTTGGCCATTTCTTCAAATATCTTCATAATATTCAAATCAAAAAAAAAAATGAATTTTTCAATTCAACAACAACAACAACAACGACGAGAAAAAAATTTCTGATTTAAATTATCATCAAAACTTCCGAAACAAATTAGAAAACAAAAAATTTGGTTAATTCACAAGAAAAACAGGGGTGGTGGTACTAATAATCATCAGAATAATGATCCAAAACATTTCCATAGGACCTAAGCAACAATGAATGAATGAATGAAAAAAAATTCAACGAAAAAAAACCTAAAATAACGAATGTGTTTTTAATTAGATCGTATAACACACACACACACACACACACACACACACAAAAAAAAAAAGATTTCTGTTTTGTTCGAGATAAAGTTGCTATTTTTTTATTATTATTATTCACCATCATCATCATGAATTTCGTTCATGATTGTGATTCAATGATGATGATGATGATGGCAGCAAGCGAGCAAAAAAAAAAAATTTTTAGCTTGTGTATGTGTGTTGGATAATTAAATGGATACGGTAGATGTGTCACACACACACACACACACGCACTCATATCACAAGAATTCTTTTATGGTGTCGTATGGAATCAGTATTTTTTTTTTCTCGGTTGTCGAGTGTGTGTGTGTGTGTGTCTGAATTTAACCCTTTCGTTACTCATTTATACAAGGTTTAAATGAATGATTCTGATACATTATATAAAAAGGCAGTGGTGGTGATTGTTGTTGTTGTTGTTTTTTTTTTTAGATTTTGCTGCTCGTCGTCGTCGTCGTCGTCGAGAATATTCATTCATATTCATCGATTTGAAAAAAAAAGTAATGAAAGTAAAAAACCGACTACGTATTATATAAGAGTAATTATCAACGAGTGAAAAGTAAAAGATTATTACGATATTATAATATTCTACAATTCAAGTTTCTCATTTCCATTGGTGTGTGTGCGCGCGAGCGATAGGCTCTTTCTATGAGACATTGCAAATGGAATGATGATGATGATGATGATGTTCAATGGCACAAATGATTAATGATTACGCGGTCATCAGACGGTGAATTTTGTTTTATTTTTCTCTCTAGTTTCTGACAAAAAATGCAATTTTTTCTTCCTTTTTAGTCAACTAATAATCAAAAAAAAAAAATCAGCAGAAATCAGAAGAAATATTCAGCTTTGTAACAAAAAAAAAAAAAATAATGATAAAAAGTGACATCATTCAGCTAAATTTATGAAAATTACTGCGGGTCTGGAAATATCTGGTGTTTTGGATGGAAATGATTTCATTTCTAAAAAAAATTACTGCAAAAAAAATTCTAGATAGACAAAAAAAAATTAAAAATGACAGAATTCAATGATTATTATGGTGTTTTGTCCTCTCACTCTCTCTCCGTGATAATCGAAAATTGAAAATGAAAAATTATTTGATTATGAACAATTCAACAATAGCAACAAAGAGATTAGTTTTTTTTTCGTAATTCTAAATGTTCCCAAAAATAGAACAAAAAAAAAAATCAATATTATCGAACCAAAATATAGAAAAATTATGTCATCTATTTTCATATATACTCATATGACATTTGTATAATAATAAATTTTCATCATCATCATCATGCTATTGTTCCTGGATCAATGGTATGATGATGATGGTGTGTTTGGGTAGTAAATTAAAGTCCAGCTTTATAATAATGATGACAATTATTGGCCCGTAAGCACATCATCATCAAAATGTCAAAAGCTAACCAACGAAAAAAAAAATTAGAATCAAATGTCAATGTGGTGTGTGTGTGTGTGTGTGTGTGTGTATGGGTGGGGCGAGTGCGTAATTTTACTAAAAGTGATGAGTCAGTAGGGACCTTAGTGGATCATCAATGATTATGATCATGGTATAATTGTTTTTCAAGCAACAACAAACAAAATGAAAAAAAAGAATGAACAAAATGAAATAGTGGACATCAGGGAAAGAATAAAAAAAAATTGATTCTGATCAACCACCAACACACACACACACACACACATACCTATTTGTTGATGTTGTCGTTGTTGATGATGATGAGGATAATGTTGGTAATCCAAGAGCTGCAGCAGCGGCTACAAGCTGTTGTTCACGTTCACGTTCACGTTGTTCACGTTCTCTTGATGATATTGATGTTGTTATCGGTGTTGTCGTTGTTGTTGTTGTTGTTTGATGATGATTCTGGTTTGATAATGAATTCTGTTGTTGTTGTTGTTGCTGCTGCTGTTGATGTTGTGCAGCGGCTGCTGCACTTAAATGTTGTAAAAATGGAAATGCAGCTGCAGTATAACCATTTGCAGCTAACATTGCTGCTGCCGCTGTAGCAGCCGTTGCGGCTGAATTTGCTGCCGCTACTGATGCCGATGTCGTATGATTCACATTGCCACTATTCAATTGTTTTAAATCGAGATCTGATCGTAATCGATTATGAATTGATTGTATTGAATCGTATAGCGATGTTCTATTATGCTTCTTTCGCTTACCATAATCGCATTCCAAATCGGATGATGAATATCTGGCTTTTTTATTATTACCACCACCATTACTACCGCCATTATTATTAATATTTTCATTGCCACCACCAGTACCACCACCATTGCCATTATTTGAATTATTATTCGATACAGCAGCGGCTGCTGCAGCTGCACTAGTAAAACCCAATAATGGTAATAAATTATTGGCCGCTTGTTGTTGTTGTTGTGATGTTGTCATATGCGATCCTGGTACGGTACCATAATTTCCTGGTTCTGGACTTGGTATTCCTGAACTACGTTTAGGTGGACGACCAGGCCTATTTTTTTCATAATCAAAAAAAAAAGAAAGAAAATATGATCAGAATATTCTATCATCCATTGAAAATAATGCAAGAATTTTTTCAAAAATACAAAAAAAAAATCAAAATCTCAATGGGAAAAAAAAAAAAACATTAATGAATCAATAATGGATATCCGGATACTAAGAACCAGATGGAATGGAAAAAAAACATTTGCATATGTTTGTGTGTGTGTGATGAGCAAACAAAACAAACAAACAAATATCAAATGAACAAACATTCAAAACTTGAATAATAATAATAATAATATATTATTACCGCTAGAAAAACAAAGGTGCAAACATTCACACACACACACACCACCATCACCATACAAACTGAAAATCCACCCACCCACACACACACACACACACACAACAAACAAACAAACACCAAGAAAAAATAAATAAATAAATGTTTGTCATCATTCAACATCCTTGTCATAAATATCAAAAGCTAAAGCTAAGCTATTTTGGCCACATTAATTTGGAACAAACACACACACACACACACACTGAAAAAAATGGATCAATATATAACCGAAAAACGTATGTCACACACACACACACACACACACATACATTTGTATAGAAAGTTTATTCTTTCTCACTCGCAAAAAAAAGCGAAAAAAAACCAATAATAATAAAAATTAATAATTAAGCTCGTCATATAATGTTGTTGTTGTTGTTGTTGTTGTTATTGTTTTTCCGCTTGTTTATTTTTGTCGTTCCAACAGAATGGAACGAAAAAAAAATTGGTCCATTTTTGATGTTTACATAAACACCAACGGTGTGTGTGTCTTTGTCTTTATGTTGTTCTAATATTTGGAAGGTTTTAGCTCACACAAACACATAAATTTATCACCAAAAAAAAAAAAAATCCATACGTTAGATTTGTATGAATGGATCGATTGATTATAATCCAGAAAAAAAATATTATGTATTATATTACACATTTTTTTCCGTAAAATCTATGTGTGTGTGTGTGTGTGTGTGTGTGTGGTAAAATCCATAGGCGGTTTGTTAGATCAATGGTTATATTTATTATTATATAAACGTACACGTGGCATGATCGAGATCAAATTTTCGACATTTAAATGATATAATAAACACACACACACACACATATACACACTAAAAACATTTTCATTTCTCATGAGGTGGCCATGATGGCCTGATTCGATAAATAAAACTTTTCTTTCTTTTTTTTTTCTTTCTTTTTGGTCCACCTTTTTTTTCTCAACTAAAACCAAAATGTTTTCATCGTTGAAAAATATCATCAGAATATATATATATCTTCAATAACGACGTTGACTTGATGATGATTTTTATTGTTTTTTCTACTACTACTACTCATTTCATTCAATTTAGGGTCATTATTTTCATTCTGTGTTGATGATAATAATAATAAATAAATGGCATCCACACCACTTTCCACACACACACAGATCCAGATCCAGATCCACAGATTCAATCAATTATTTATTTATTGCACATTTAAAAACATATAGAGAAATAAAAATGAATATATATAAAACCATTGTAAATTGATTATTACAACGACTACAAAGTGTTTGTTTGGTGTGTTGTTGTTGTTGTTGAATTTCGATTGACTAAACACTTTTTCTCTCTCTCTCTTTTTGTTTCTGGAACAATTTTTCTACATCGATATTATTATTATTATTGAATGAAATGGGCTCAATAAATTTCAATTTATAAAAACAAATATTTGTGAAATTCTGACTTTTTTTTTCACTCAAACAAAGTAGAGAGAGAGAGAGAGAGAGAAAGAGAGTGGTAATCGATGATTTTATTGGAAATAAAATGGATTTCAGGAAGGGGGCACAATATGAATGATGGTTGCGATTTTGTTTATCGAGATAGATAGATAGATAGATAGAAAGAGGAAAATTCCAAGGCAAAATTTTCTAGTTTTTTTTCAAACTTTAAATAACAACAACAAACAAACAAACAGATGAACGAATGAACTAACGAAAAAAAAGGAAAAGGAAAAAGACAACAGAAAAAATTTCATCTGAATGAATGAATGAATGAGCGAATGAGAAACGAAATGAATTGAAAAAGAATTTTGGCTGGTTTTTTTTTCTTTCATCATGAAACGACAAGAATACTGTTTTATTTTTTAAAAAAACATCACCAGGATGATTGATCGATTTGATTCGACAGAACGAGAGAAAGAGAAAACAAAGTTATTGTTCATGAATTCGATATTCGCGTTCAAATGCGAATATCGAATTCATGCGATAGAATCGATGGAGAGAGAAAAAAAAACGACCGGCAGCATTAGGCTTGATTCTTGTGCAACAATAAACGAAAGAAAGAAAAAAATTTTTTTTTTCCATTTAATTTTTTAAAATAAATTTGTTACGGAAATTGTATGTGACTTGTATTGTGTGCGTTTTTTTTGTTTGTTTGGTGTGTGAATGAAATTTTTCAATTCAAAAAAAAATTTAAAACGAAAATGGAAAAAAAATCAAATTGAATTTCTGGTGTTTTTTGTTGTGGTTTTCATCTAATTTTTCTTTTTTTTTCGCCTCACTTTCAATGGATATCTGGAAATGTACACCATTTTATGATTGAAAACAAAAATCACCGGTCGGTCCCAAGAGTAGTTTTGTTGCTGTTATGTTGTTTGACTTGTAGTGTTGTTTTTTTCTCTCGTTTCTGGTATGGTTTTTTTTTGGTTTGGAACTTAATATTTTTTTTTTATTCTGAGGGATTCACTCGATTTGATGATATAATGATGATGTGTAATATAAATCATTATTGACTCATGTGTGTCTGCAAGTGGAAATGTTTGCAAGTCCAAACAAAAAAAAAAACGAAACGAAATTATTATTTAATCTGGAAAATAATCGATTATCAGCATTTGACATTACCATCATCAGTTTGTGGCCAAATGGCCTGAAGGACATAGTATTGGACTTGTTTATGATTTCAGTCGTTTTGTTATTGTTTTTCTCTATCTCTGTCTATGTGTATGTTTGTGTTTGTGTTTCTGATTGATGATGATAACAGTCAAACACATATATAGGATATAATACCGTTAGGTTTTCATCATCATCATCATCATCATCAATTTTGTTTTGTAAAATTTTCCATTAATACAAACAAAGATGATCAATCGATGGATCGATAAATAAATATTCTCGATATTCATTCATCATCCAACCATCATCAACATGATGATGGTGATGATATAAATGAATTGAATAAATAGAGTAAAAAAGAAAAACAACAACAACAACATCGTATATCATGACAAAACAAAAACATTAAATGAAAAACAAAGTTTTTTATAAAGTATGTTTTTTTTCGATGGACAAAAAATTGATTGTAAATATTTACATAATAAACACTAAAAGATGAAGTTGATGATAATAATCAAATCTATGCAGAATAGAATAGTAAAGAAAAACGTTATTTTCAAGAAATCTAAATCCATTCATCAAGGTAATAGAAGATTTAGATTTAAATTGCAACAAAACAATCAAATGAGATGAGATGATCACGTTTTCATGTTTTATGGTTTATATTTTCTATTATTTGAATGGTTAATGGTTTCAGTGGAACAGTTTGACATTCGAATTTCTGATGAATTCACATCCATCATCATCATCATCATATAATTTGGAACGAGGATGATGATGATGAAAAAAATATGTTCCAAAAATAAAAATTCATTCCATATTGAACAAATATTTAAATTCAAGATTAACAATCTTTGAATTACAAATAAAAACATTATTCAGTTTTTTTGAACATGATTTTCCAATTAGACCACATTTATGTCTATCACTTGAATGAAAAAAAAATATTTCTAAAATATCTGGAAATTTGTCAGAAAACTTGAATGTTTTTTTTTTTTCGAACGAAAAAAAAAACATAAAAATTGGACACACTTATTCATTTTTTAAGTGTGCGGTTTGTTTGTTTGTTTGTTTGTTCGTTTGTTCGGTTATCATCATCATCATCATCATCAACATGGCCGATATAAGTTGATTTTGGAAAAAAACTAAATTTTGATATCTTCACAATCTGTTGTTGTTGTTGTTGTTGTTGATTTTTGACAATACAATAATCTACGGAAAAAAAGATGGGCAAACATAAAAAAAAACTTACAATGACCCTTGTGTGTGTGTGTGTGTTTGATTTCTATATCATTCGCCCATTTTTTTTAATGATTACACGGATACATATGCAAAATTGGCCTCAATTTACGAACAAACAAGCAATGTGTGTGTGTGTGTGTGTGTGTGTATTCGTTTGCCATTGTATTGTTCGACAATCAATGAATTGTGGAAATGGAGCAATTTAAATTATGGTTTTAGTGGGGGGATGTTGTGTGTGTGTGTGTGTGTAAGATTGAATAAATGTATGCACATCCATCCATCAGAAAAAGCAACAAATGTTCTGTTTCTTTTTTTTTTTTTTTTTGGTGCATGATGATGTTGATGATGATGATGGTCACCATGTCTAAATTCAAAGAATCGTGACATTGAAAAAAAAACGGATGGTATATGGTACACACACACACACACACACGAATTTCAATCTAGAGAGATAGAAACCGACTTTGATCGACAATCACCACTAACCAATGACACACACACACACAAACATATTGTGATCGAGTTGATCGAGTGGTATAGTGAAAACAACAACAACAACAACAGAAATGATTTTTAAATGGGCAAAGATTTATCAATTTCAGATCCAACCAAAAAAAAAACGAATTGAAATGAAAATGGAAAATTTTCAAACAAAATGAGCATCTGCATATCATGATTCCAAATTGCCAAATGTGTTGATGATGATAATCACAACACCGAGAAAAAAAGAAAGAAAAACGAAAAACAAATTAGCAATTTGATTTTGATTTGATTTCAATGAAATAATCGCTGTTGATCATCGAGATGGCTATCTATCTGACTACAAATCTATTCTTTTTTTTTGGGC